AATTCACTTTCCTTAATTCCTGAGTCTCAGTTCTTTGTTACTCGACAAGACCACTTTGTCTGTAAAAGATTCAAAGGCTGTAGTGCCCGGCTTCTGTGACATCCACGATGTTTGAAGGCTTGTGAGGTGTTAAAAAATACATGCTATATTGACGTGTAACAGATATACAGAGTGTTGACTGGTAAGAATATTAATAATACATCCCAAGGGTTAAAAACAATTATTAATTAAATATTACCCTGAACGAAAAGGATGAATCATTATTATATATCATTATATGGTTACTGTACAGCCCTTCAAGTTACACCTCAGTAAATGCTACCATTTTGGTGACACCTGGCCAATTAGCTGCTAAGACCTTCGTCTGAGCGAATCTGCATGAATTGCCAGGATGAATGAGGGAGCGAAGGCTGAGAACGTCTACGGGGCCTTAAACACGTGGCACAGGAAGTGCCACCAGGCTGGGTGGATCGCGCTGGCTGCCGCGGCTCCACGCCGCGAGGAGCTCTGTCCCGGCTTGCCTCGTGAACTTCCCCCGCAAGTCCGCCATGCTGCGGGGAGCCCCAGAGTGTGTATGCAACCGCTGACACTCCAAGGGCTCACAAAGGCAGAGATTATAGCACTGTGCATGAGCCCGAACAGCGGGCTCACTGTGTCCAGGGGGCTGAGCGCCCTCAGGTAAACACGCCACAGGTAGCGAAGTGCATGAGGTGTAAATGAGGTTTCACGATGTACAAAAACACACCGCGCAGCGCAGGCAAATCAACCCTCTCAGGCGCACACAGACTCACGGTCTCCTGATATGTATGGTCCATTAATCTCACCCGTAATCAGCAGCATAAACACATGTGAGCACACAACCCCATTTTCAGTCTCTGCCGCACTCGCTCACACAAACAAACAGGTGTTGTCCCTCAGCTTCTCTTTTTATCAAGCAGGCACACATAAGCCCACAAAAAAACACACACACTAGCCCTCCCTCACTTTTCCTCACTCATATACACACGGGCCATCGCTGCCCCGAGTACAGCCAAGTAACATCAGCTGAGGAGCACATGCTCACATGCAGATTTGTCACAGTATAGGGGCTCTGGCTCGCTGTTACGTAACTTCAGCATAGAAGCCAAACAGAGGAGAGAAATGACTTTGGTGGATTTGGTCACTAACCACATATAAACAGCTCTCAGGCAGTCTTTATTAGACCTGTTGAAAGCAACGCTGGGTCTATTTATATCCAGGTGAATTCCAGATCATCCCGTTCCTCAGACCATAGCTGCTACAGGTCAGCAGGGCCTGAGAAGGACGTGCGAGTCATCGCGATGAATTCTAAGCAGAACCACAACATTCCCCCTTTTTCCATGTAGCCCAGTGCGGTATTCGCACCCGGCTCGGCCACATGCGCGGGCCTGGGCCAGTCTGGCGGAGCCTGCGGTTTTAAAGGAGGCCGACAGCTGTGGGCGTTATTGGGGCCGTTTCCTGAACGTACCCAGGGCGTGAGAATCACACTGCTGGAAAACCGAGAGCACGAATGAAAGACACACCACCTCTTCCCCTTCGACTGTTACTTTCGTCATTGTACACATCTGCGTTGGATGAGCCTAAGATAAGATGAAGCTTTATTCGTCGCCCATGGGGAACATTTTTGAGAATGGAGGGAACCATGCCTACAAGCTTTCACTAGAAGCCCAATGCATTAATGGGATTTAGACCCAGGATCTCTTGAATTATGAACATGTACTGTTTTAACTCCCTACTCCACAGTGTCTTACCTTTGATTATCAAGCATTTTCTGTATGGAAACACTTTCCAAACATTATCATTTAGCAATCTGGATTTATAATAATTTTCAACTTTCCACTAAACAGGATGTAGCTAACACCCAATTTGAGGTTCACAGGTTGGTAAACGTGAAGGGACCCACATTTAATACGGAAGTTTATGTCCTAACCACTACAGGTACAGGTCAAGGTTCATGACACAAGATGACTGGTAGCTTAAAGCCCCCTTATGACTCTCCTGAATCCAGGGTTAACTGCTTTTATAGAAGAAGGCTTTTGAGCAGAAGCACTGGAAAAAAAAAAAGAGGCACTGCACCCCGGTGACTTCATTTAATGGGATCACAGTTGGCCCTCAGGTGTAAATTTAAGACATGGCTTTCAAAGTTCATAGGATTCCAGCACACCCACTCAATTATGGCACAGAGTGCATTGTAGAAACAATCACGGATAGAACATGCCTTACTTTATATTATTACTGTGTTGGTGTAGCTTGGTAGTTTATTGGCTAATTACTAGGAACAGCAGTGCTGTCTTTGTCTACTCTGTAAGTAATAAAATTTGCAGAACTTCCCATGTGATGCATCTTTGGTGGTTTGTATAACATGTGATGACAAATAGAGCTAAGCTTCTGTTGTCTACAAAGCAAAAGCATTCTGAAGTTCTTTGGAAGAGGTTAATTACATTTATCACATTAATTGCCAGGAATGAAATCGAAGCCTGGCATGCGATTCATACCTCCAGCCACAACCCGGCCAAGTGCAGGCGAAGGGCTTCTCCCCGGTGTGTCTGCGCAGGTGGGCCTTGAGGTGACTGCTCTTGGTGTACATCTTGGTGCAGCCAGGGAATGAGCATTTGTGCATTTTAATCAGGTCTGCGACAGGGTTTTTCTGGAACTTTTGGCCCGAGGAGAAGAGTCCTGCCGCTTGGCCTGCAGCGCCTCCCTCCCCCACACCCACAGGCTTGGCGGCGATGGGCACGGGTGCGATGCGTACGAACTTCGATGACACGCTGAGGCTGGTGGAAGGCACCAGCTGGGGCACCAGGGCGAAAGTCTGGCCCTGTATGTTGACCAGCAGCTGGGCGATCTTGATGTCTGGAGAGGGTGACTGGGCAGGGAGCACGGGGGCTGTGGAGGGGCTCTGCTCTTGTTTGATCTGAACGGGCTGGATCTGCAGGACAACCGGCACCCCGCCTTTGTCAACAGAAGCTGATTCGCTGGGAAGCTCCTTCATCACGGTGTCGCAAGCACCGGTATTAGAGTTTGTTGCGGCCCACGTGCTTTTGGGTTCAAGGCTAGGAGTTACAGCAGTGCTGGCAGCAGGCACAGCTTGGCCCGACTGCTGAGGTCCGGTCTCTGGCAGCATGGAGAGCTTACCGCTCAGTTCCAGCTCTTCTCCCTCACCCGGTTCCTGTTTCATGGTAACCACCTCCATGTTCTCCTCTAGGAACTCCTCAATCTCCTCCAGGGTGGGCTGGAACGGTTCAGCGTGGTCCTTGAGGTCGGCCGAGTAGATGGGGAAGTCGAAGTGTTCCTCTTTCATGGGCTGGGAGCGCAAGTCCTTGCGTGACTCCCAAGAGAAGCTGGAGGGGAGGCTGGCGGACACGCTCCCCAGCGAGGTCTGAGAGAGCAGGAAATCCAAGATGCTGTCCTGGCTTTCGACACTAGAGCTGCTGCCATAGCTGGAGCTGAGAACTTGGGAGTCCGGGCTGGAACAGGAGCGCGGACTGGACGAGTCACTCAGGTCGTCCTCAGAGAATGGCGGGGACAGCACCTGGTAGCTCACTGTGTCAGTCACCATGTCTGACAGGCTGTAAGTCGCCGGGGAGCCTTCGAAAGGCAGGAAGGTCTCCTCTCCCACATGCAAGTGATCCACCATTCCTGGCTTGGCCAAATAAAATGCCCCTTCCCCCTTCAGTTTATGTGCCTGACTGATGATATTTGCCTATTAATTTACTTTCCTGTCCTCTTCCAGAAACAAGCGGAATCCAGCTGGGAAAAAAATGCGTCTTCAGTTCCTAGAATTATATCCACAGACGTTCCTAAAAAAAAAAAAAAGAAAGAAAGAAGTTAGATTACAAAATACTGTTATGTCCGTCAATCACTGCATGCAAATACGTTTAAATTATTACGTCTTCAGGTATTGATGATGCTGTACAAAGGAGATGAGGATCCTTACATCAGCTTGTTGTATAGAAACTGTGTGATTTGAACTTCAAAAAAAAAACTTCTCATATAGAAAAGGGGGGGAAAGTTCTGTGTTTTATGATGCATTATATGTAACATCATGTTTAATTGTATAGGTCCGCTACTTTGTAGTAAACAGTTTAGCCACTAGTCTGTTCCATGGTTTATATCCAAAGCTGGAAAAGAAAAAAGAAGCAAAAAAAAACCAAAAAAAAAACGCTGGTCCTGACATTAGTCTGCTGCACCGGTGTTGGGAATCAGGATCCCTTTATACCAACCACATGACTTTATTGATTTTGTCCAGATCTCACCTTTAACCAGACAGACCACAATTAAGTGCTGTATTCCAAAATAAATTGCTATTTCAAAATGTGTAAAAGATTACGTGACTTGACATGACCTTTTCCCATTAAAAAGGCAGTGTGAAACAAAAAAACCTCGTTGCAACATTTTTTAAATTGGAAAAAGTAACGTCCACCAGTTATTTCTAAGTCCTAACAAAAGTTATATGCAACTTACGCACTTGAAAAGCTATGAAAAGCACGCTAACGCCTGGCGCGGTCCAGTTTCAAGCACACAAGCTGATACTGAACCACGGAGACAACCGGAGATACAGCATTACTTTTACTTGTATTTACTAACATTACTTACCTGCCGGATGTTGCATTGTGGCGCATTTAAGGAAACAAACATCAACTCGTGTCCTGAACAAAACATTCTTTTCATATCCGTCACCTTACACGTCATTCAAATTGAAAGGCTGTGTTTTAATAGTGAGAAATATATGAAGTCTCTGAAAGCACAGTGGATACCGTAACAATCGAACTACTTCGGCAAGTAATCCGAATATTGCCGAAATGTCGCCCCTAGTCTTTTGACAGCTATTATGCGTTCAGATCTGATTGTAAAATTACAGCTATTGTAGAAAAAAATCAGGCCAATGAATGGTTGTGATTGTGACAGTTTATAGAATGTGGTCCCCACCCCCGACCCCCGTTCCGACTTCCCCTTCCCCGGCCCCACCGCTTGGAAATGACCGACAATAACCCGTTCTGGTGACTGTCAACAGCGTACAGCGGACAGGACCACGGATCCGCTCTTAGTGCCCCGCACATTCCGCACACCGCTCCATCGTCAATTTCCACACCGTTTTACCATGTGCAAAGTGCAATTATACCGCTTTTTCCATAAACGGACACGTTTGCTTTCTTCATGCATTTTTTATGCTGTTTGGTTTATTTCCGTGCATCCCAGTTGCGAATAATTATCTTTCACCGCAGCTAAATGGGAAAAGTTGAATATCGGTCTATCTATTTTTATCGGGGAACGTAAACGCGTTTATTTCTGCGGCGGTCATCGGACGTCAGATGATAGCCAGGATCAAGTATATTTATGTTTCTCTTCTCGACTGGGATATCGGTTAGATAAAGGCAGATTTCGTCGTTTTTTATTGCATATTGATTGTGGTAACAGCCCAGTAATGTAATAAGTACAAGACAATCGCGCACGCTGTTCGAACAGATCGCATTTTTACAGTGTGGATTTTACGGTAACTATTCACGCCGCTGGGTTGGCTATTATTTCCAAGATTTCTTTGGCGTCCTTCCATGACGTTAAAAATGTATGTACGCCCTCTAATTGAATACGATGCATCGCCAAGCGCATGAGTAAGCTAGTATACAGTACTTGAGCCCCACAACGTAAACATGTTTTCGTCCAATGCACAGCATGCTCCTGCATGGGAAGGAGGGGAGGGTGTTCCACACACCCTAGATTGTATGCAAGAATCCATTCCGATGCATTAAAGCACTTTATTTAGTCTTACCTGATTTGTCAGCAAGAAATGAAAATCCCCCTTTTTAATCCGTCGTTTTAGCAAGGAAAAGATATAAAGTACGATCGCCCTTGAGGCGGGCTGGTAGTTACTGTGTTAGAAAGCGCTCCGTCCTCGTACTGTAGTTGTACTATATTACCATCACATGACTGCTGGTGAGTGTGTTATAAGAATAAAACGGAGGGTAGGCGCTCGAAGGCTCGTCCTCACTCAGCGACGCCATTGGCCGGCGGCGCACGGAGGCTGGTCTCCGCGCTCGTCGACAACTGGAACAAGTTTCTGCGCAGTGCTCCTGCAAGCAAAATAAGTCCTGTCACGTTTTTTTCCCCAGTCTTAATAGCAGTCGGCCTTTTTACGCCGCTTGTTTTGATCATAGCAACAGTGTTTTGAGGGGGGGGGGGTTGGGGGTTGTAAACTCGCTTTCTACAAACGCCGTGTGCGGTATCATACACCATATACACTGTAGACAAAAACGTCTACTCGGTTTTTTTAATGGAATGGGTACATTCTCGATACAAACATACACACTAAGATAAAGGTAAATTCTAAATATAAATCAGAGACGAAAGTGCATTCTTAGTACAAAATTGCACAATGAGACAAAGTAAAATATGGTGTTGGTGTGAAAATAAAGATCTGTCACATATTGTTACCAATAATTTCTTCTTCTTCTTCTTCTTCTTCTTCTTATTCTTTTTCTTCTTTTAAAAAAAATCTTACTGAGAGTTGACAACCCACCTTGTCAAATAAGGAATCGAGATTGAAAATGTTGACGAAGAGTGTATAGAGTTATTTATTGATAGAATCGTTATCTGAATGACTTTTGGGACATAATCCAAACACAAAAAAAAACCATGTGAATGACAATGACATGAAGGATCATGAACTGGAGCTTGCGTACTTTGAAAACACTTTTATTGTTACCTGAATGATAATTAATTTCCATTAGTTTCTCAGCAATTTTTACTGTGTTTCCTTGACTTCTAAAACAATAAGATATGCTATGTATGTATGCATTTTAGCATATTTGTTCAGCGAATTTTGCAGGTTAGTGAAAGAGAAAATAAGTAGCCCAATGGATGTCTTTGGCCTACTAGTGATTATTTTGCAATCATTAAATCAGGAGGGATGATCACAAGGTCAGGGTCAAGTTGAGCAGAGAGCAGGACTGTGACTTAAACAGGAAGCTTTCAGTCTATTAAAGTTCACTCATACTTAAATGAGGGACTCACAGTCTATTAAAATGTACTGGAACGCGGCTGTTGCGTCAGACTGTTAAATGCGTAGGGGTGAGATGACAGCTATTTTCGGAGCCAATAAGGACATCAACGCCATTGTTTGTGTTGGTGGATCTACGCTGTCCTCGCCAACCTCCCTTATGCTTAAGCCTTGTAAAAGAGCTACAGTAAATTGCTATTGTTTATATAGTAATGAGCTAAAGAAAGAGGCTTCATATGTTTGATAATTTCTATTTTATTGTTGCAATATTAAATTTAAAAATGCTGTAGTGAGTTCTTACATTTGAAATGTTAATATTTTCATTTTTAGCCTCCCAATATTATAAAGACCCTAACAAATCTTTCTCAGACATTTCTGTCCACTTCTCTGTAGAATACATGCTTCTGGTCTCATTCTGTCTTTTTTCCTTGGTTTTTGACCTTCCAAAGTCACACTCATTTATTGCCAGCAACACAAAAGGTGATTCTGACTGGAATATTAACATTTTCCAGTGTAAGCAAAAGTATTTGTTCTTATTGAGCTTTCACCACATTTAAGTGATCAGACACATTTCTGATGTCATCAGCTGTCAGCCGTCCTCACATCCCATAACGCTCACTCAGTGTAGGGCTGCGAGACGCCTGGGGGGCACCGCACACAGCAGGGGGCACAAGGCAGGGGAAACCCTAGATGGCATTTCAGGCCCTGGTAGGATACACACATATTCAGAGATACCAATTCACCTAATTGCATTTCTTTTGACTGCAGGAGGAGATGAGAGTGCCCTGCAACGTGGAGGGAGCAAGTAAATGCCATCTGGAGCGAGGGGGGGAATAAAACCCCCAATTCTGGAAGAGTAAAGAGACGTTGCCCATCACCCCACTCCATGCTCACCTGCCATCAGTCTTATCAATAATAGTTACTATTTTAATGATTTGTTTTTTAAGTCCCCGTGACTCTGACCAATAAGATCAGTTGGACGGAAGGAGATCCAAGCAATCACAGGGAGACCATGCGGAGATCCAAGCAATCACAGGGAGACCACGGGACCTCCTCACCCACCACATAGATCAAATTCACAAGGCAAGAGTCATGAGGCCTCATCGCTGCACCATGCAACACTTTAGTTATCTCTGCTTTTCATCCAGCACCTATTAATCCCAGCCAGGGTTATGTGCTTCAGATTCACTTAACTCAGTTCACTAAGAATTAATGAAATAGATCAGTATACGAAATTATCACAAGTCAGTGTCTTAAAGTGAAGATCACATAATCCTCATTTGCCATTTATATAAAACAATGGAATAATTTCATGGTTTTATACTCGGTTTATTCACATGAGTAATATTACATTTTGGTAATTTACCAATTACCTTTTAGAGTCCCTATGTTGATGGCAAATAAAAGATTGGCCGCTTGACATTTAAGTTCCAATTGTTTTAACTAATGGAGTGCAGGCAGCTTTCTGAAGTAATTATTTCTGCATGTCAAGGGAGAAGCTGTTTGCTGAAGAATGATGCCAGATTTGAAGACATGCGATTTTAATTTTTAAAGACTTTCTTAATGATGCCCCAGCAGAGTTAAAAGGGTACAGGCCAAGGTGAGATAGAACGTGGAGTCTTGTGACCAATGAGGACTGT